ATTTCTTATTAAGCTTAATTAATTTATATCATAACAGCACAAACTGAGGCAGGGTCCTGCAGTTTTTCTTTCTTAAATAAAGCATGGATTTGTCCGTCAAAATGAAGCCCTGAATGTTCTGTTTTCCTGCGTACTATCTTGGGTCAGACATCTTTTATAAAAAATTTAACGAGGCCACATTCAATGGAATGCATTGTTAAATTACTGAGATAGTCTACCTTGTAGTTCCATCATGAGGTAAGTTCCACTGCATAGATTTTACACAGACAAATCAAACGAGTCCAACCGATAGAGCTGCGTTATTGAATAACAAAATTTCTATGGCGATCATCCAGTTCCATCGTCAGACTCTGGATATTATCAGGCCCAAAGTTATGGTCAAAAACAAATCAAACGCGTCCAAAGTCGAAGGGTTTGTTTGCTTTATTTACGCTTTCAAAGTCAAAGTCAAAATCAAAATAATCTTTATTCAAATAGACTTCTTAAAAGTACTTTTGAATCGTCCAACATTTTTTCCCTACCACTCGTTCAGGACGTCTTTTGGCTGATAAGAAGAACGAGCAAGAAACTCACCAGCTCTAATATGAGTAATGACATTTACAAAAACCATGTCATTACCAGATCAATACATTATAAACAGAGATAAAAAAAACTATAGTCTTATAATAATAACATAATCATTTAATAATAATGGAAACAAGATAATGAGTTTAGAAGTAATCACCTATCCAGTTGCTGGATCATCTCAAGTCCAAGCGTTCTTATCTGTTACATAATCGGATACCTTATAATAAGCTTTTTTAATAAGTATTTTTTTAATAGTAGATTTAAACTGCATGATATCTAATTGTTGTATTTTGCTTGGGACCTTATTGTAGAAGCGCACACAAAGACCCTTGAAAGAGTTATTAACTTTTTGCAGTCTAGTGACAGGCACCGTTAATTTATTTTTATTTAAATTATTAGTATTAAAATTGTGTACATCACTTTTAATAGAAAACAAACTAATATTTTTACGAACGTACATTAAGTTCTCGTATATGTATTGAGAAGCAACAGTCATAATGTCTATTTCCTTAAATTTCTCCCTTAAAGAGTCCCTAATCCTAAGATTATAAATTGATCGAATTGCTCTTTTCTGAAGCACAAAAATTGTTTGTATGTCGGCAGCATTTCCCCACAATAGGATACCGTATGACATAACACTATGAAAGTAACTGAAGTATACTAATCTGGCAGTATCTATGTCAGTTAACCTACGTATCTTCATTACGGCATATGCTGCAGAGCTAAGTCTACTCGACAATCTATCAATATGTGGGCCCCACTGTAGTTTAGAATCTAATGTTATTCCTAAAAATACTGTGGTATCCACAAGGCCCATGTTCTTATCTTTTACATTAACATTTATATCTACTTTTTTAACGTTAGGTAGTACAAATTTTAAGCATTTTGTTTTTCCTTCATTAAGGAGAAGATTATTTACATTAAACCAATGTACTACTTTAGCGATAGAATTGTTCACATCGTCATTTAGAGGTAACCCTCTTTTAATTTTAAACAAGAGTGAAGTGTCATCCGCAAACAAAACTATTTCGTGATCATCCCTTACGAAATAAGGCAAGTCATTTATGTAAATCAAAAACAAGAAAGGACCAAGTATTGAGCCCTGCGGAACGCCCATCTTAATTTTCGATCCAGGGGATCTTTTGCCATTGATATCAACCCTCTGTACTCTGTCAGTCAAGTATGAGACAATAAAATCCAATGAGTTATCTCTAAATCCATAAAAATGCAGTTTCCTAATCAATGTTTCATGAAAAACACAATCAAATGCCTTAGATAGGTCACAGAAAACACCTAACGCATCATGTGAATCCTCCCAGGCATTAAAAATTTCTTGTATTAACTCGACACCGGCTTCGGTTGTCGAGCGACCCCTTGTAAAACCAAATTGTTGTCGATTCATAAGCTTATTCTTGTAAAAGTACGTTTGTATTTGATCCAGCATGATTTTTTCAAAAATCTTACTAAACGTAGGTAGCACGGATATAGGTCTAAAGTTAGTAGGGTCAGATGTGCTACCCGATTTATGTAAAGGAATAATTTTACTATATTTCATGAGCTCAGGAAAAATACCACAATCAGTACATTCATTAAATATATAAGCTAAGATTGGAGCTATTGTCTCAATTACCGATTTAGAAACTTCAATGGAATTACCCCATAAATCAGCAGTTTTCGTTTTCTTTAGCTGATTAAAAGATTTTATTATATCTTTAAAATCAATGTGTTGAAACTTAAATTGGCTATTAGAATTATTCAAACTTGCCTTTAAAATAGATTCAGCAACAGTGGAAGAGGAATTCAAAGATTGTGTAATTAAGACTGGAATTTCAGTAAATAAATTTTCAAATACTGTAGCAACTTCAAGATCTGATGTTACTTTTTTATTATCAATGTTTAAATTAAAATTTATATTCCGGGATTTTTCTCTTCCAGTTTCACTATTTATGATATTCCACGTCATTTTAACTTTGTCTTTACTATTTTCAATTTTTGCATTTAAATAATTACATTTGGCTAAACGACACACTTTTTTAAATAATTTAGAGTAATTTCGTACATATTCTTTGAAGTCCTCACTTGTGTTATAATTACGTTCATCATATAGTTCATAGAGCCTTTTTCTGCTTTTGTAGATTCCTGGTGTAGCCCACACACTAAAAGTTATAGGATTACTAATACTTATTTTTTTTGGGACAAAAATCTTATTGAATTCTGTACAATAAACATCAAAGAAATCTTTGTACAAATCATTGGGATTACTATTATGTTTCAAATGATACAATTTACTATCTAATTGATTTTTAAAACGTTCCAAGCGACTCATACTTTTTGACACAACTGTAATGTCTCTCCTAGCCACAAACGTACATTTATGCGGAAAGCTAACTAGTTGTCCAAAATGATCTGACGGTAGTTGTTTAATTATCTGTCTTGAAAGTGGTACTAGATCTGTAAAAATGTTGTCAATACATGTGGACGAAGTAGCAGTTACTCTAGTAGGCTCCTTAAACATGTGCGCAAGATTATAGGACATAAATAGATTTACAAGTCTTGTACATGAATTGGAGTTTCCTAATAAATCAACGTTAAAATCACCCCCAATCACTAATCGTTTGCCTTTGCTATATACCTTTTTTAATGCTTCATCCATAACAGTTTCAAAGAGATCATAATGAGAAACTAAACTTGAAGGAGGTCTATATACGCTCAGTACAATCAGCTGGTCCAGCTCTATACAGGCAATCTCTATTATTTCCTCTATTTATTTATTTACTTAGAGGTCCTATTGAGAGGTCCTACCTTTCGTTTCCATCATCAGCTTAGCTCCATTGTATAGATCTTGTATTGACAAATGTTACCGGCCCGAAGCAAATAAACAAAAACTTTTTTTCTAACATTTTCACTATGTTGAATATTTTTATTTATATAGATATTTAATATTTTTAGTGTTATCCATTCTATAAAAATATTAATATCACTAAAAATAGAACAGATTTCAAACTTTAAATAAGTGATAAATAATACTGATCTCAAAAGGGACTTATTCAAGAAAATGCTAATGAAGTCGTGCTAGTGAAAGAGGTCTTCTGTAGTTTTATTAAACGCCTGACTTTAAAGCATGTTCTTGAATAAGTCGCTTTTGACAGAAGTATTATTTATCACTTTTGTGTTAGAAATGAAGATTTCTTTTATTTGCTCTACATATTTTTTTCCAATAATTCTATATTCATATTACAAAGAGGGAAGATTTGAATACTTGTTTGCTTGCATTGGATAGGCTCCGAAACTATTGGACCGATTTTTAGAAGTCTTTCATCTACGGGAATCTACATAATACGCGGGAAAACAGCTAGTTTGATGAAATCGGTTCACAATTCAAGAAGGAATGATTGACATACTTACCTACTTTCATTAAAAAATTGTATACTCCTTGAATATAGAAAATCATCCTTTCGGATTTTGAATGAATTCAAGATACGCAATCTTTTGTTTTTAGTTGAAACACATGAAATACAATACATATCAACTAAATATTTAGGTGATATATGTTGAAAAGCGTATTTTGTTATGTTATAAAAGCAAAACTACTGATTCGATTTCGATAAAATTTAAACGAGTCAACTTTGGTCTGTGTCCTACAAATGAAAATACAGGTTTCTATTACTAACAAAATACTTAACAAAACAAATTTTATGACAACAATTTACAAAAAATTACGCTTCGAAAAGTAGGAAACTAAGCTACAAAAATTTACTAAAATACATATGGCATTAAATTAGTTACTTAAAACTTAATAACTTTCATTATAATGAAAGTTGTGTTATGTTAGCTATTATAATAGCTATAAACGCACAAATAGCAAAGATATTAAAAAGATTGCCCAGACGCCTATACGGTTTTTGCTATCGTAGCACCGTATGACATCACTTAGTGCCTTTAGTTTGTATGAAGCATTTTCGATCGACTAGCAGCAGTTCTACAAACACCACTATATTAGCAAAACTATTTATCGCAGATATGTTTAAAATGTCAGCTCAATCGGAAAAGCGATAAGTCGGTCCAATTTAGACTTAAAGATTTGACCTAAACTAACTCACACGAATTTAATGAAAGCTTATAAAAAGAAAAAAAAGCCTACATATAAATTAAACGCGGGGTCGTTATTGTTGACTGGGTCGTATATCTTCTTCCCGTTGCTGGGGTTGTACCAGTAATATGTGATTGAGTCTGCCGAATCTTTGGTCATGTTGAGGCGACCAGAGATCCAGATGTGGCGGATTGCTGTTAATAGAATACAAGATTGTTTAAACGTAACGAAATTGCATAATAACATCGCTAAGATTTCTTATTCTTTGGCTAGAGTTATAGCTAAAGGGTATCTCTGTGGGGTGCGATTATCTCTATTCTAGACCGTCAGATATGCACAGACTTTAAACGATAGCTATAAAATAATTTAATTATATTTTATATAGTTTGTTTCTAGGATAGGTGAAAAAATGGATACAAAATACTATGTGAGCGTTGAAAGAAAAGGTACCATTTTTTGTTATATACTTCACAGAGGGGAGGGGGGTGGGTGTCAGCGAATTATAACGTCCTGTAGACGCTGTATTTCGCGGAAGTATACAGGTTTCTATAGTTAGCGACACATGTTGCTGAAATTTCAACGCTGACATAATACTCTGTGTCATTTAGGTAGCGTTTTATTCCTGTCCCAAGAACAGAGTATACTCACGTTCTTCTTTATTTTCACCCATAGCTAGCAGTAATTGCATGAGCACAGCACTATTGTCGACACTAGCTAATGTTCCGTTCATCTTTTGACAGTTATCATATGCATGTTGCCAGTAGAACAGTTGCCTCACTAACACATAGTAGTAGATGTCGTCGTTTGGCATCATAGTGGAAGATACTAAAGTCTGAACACCTGGAAAACAAGGCGAATATGATGCAATATGATGTAGGTAGACAGTATAATGGCAAAATGTAAGTTGTTGATAATTATCACGTAAACATCAACAGAATATTGGCCAACTGAAAATCTTAATATCACTGGTTTTTGATCATCCATTCAAGTTGCGTTAAAATTTACAATCGCAGCAAGGGCGGATCTAGGGGACCATACAACAAAACCATCATTATATTAGATTGGACATCTTGGGAATTGGACATGTCGGGAATAACGGAATTTTTGGGATCTGGATATTTTGAGAATTAGGCATTTTGCAACCGCTAAACATTTTGGAAATCGGACATTCTAGACTGAAAGGTACTGACCTTGGTAGCAAATGAACTGCATTTTCCTTTCGCAGCGCGCTTCCATGAACACGGGGGGATGAGTCGAGTGTCTGTCCAATTGCAAGCACCCGCTTTGCTTCACTGTTTTCCTGTCTCTATATACATAATACATGGTATGACTCTAAGGTATGACTCAATGAACTATTTACACTGGTATGCATATATCAAATTCTACAGCTGACTTGCCACGGTCTCGGAAATTGCAGACGGACTTAGACGACAAGTAAATTACCGTTGGAATTTTTTAGTGCGATGTATCTAGGAAGGCAATTTTTAGCTTTGTCTTACTGTTAATTGGTGTGATAATAATAACACGTTGAGTTAGATTTCGTTGTGTAAGTAATGAATCACCACTAATATTCATGAATAATACACTAAAAATTATTTACTTCAATAAAATTTATTCCCCTAAACCCAAATGAAAATCCATTCGGTAGCTTTCAGTTTATAACGTAGAAGCAGAAAGAGAGAAATGACCGATTAGAAGCAAAATAGCGACTTTCAGGTACAGTCATGGACTATAATTCACCCCCGCACCGCGATTGAGACCTGAGCATATCTGTATTTGAACTTGTTCTGATGTTTGTAGTAAGTCATTATTTACTCAAATATTAATTACCTCATCGGTGGCCAGTCTTGAGTCGGCACATCACCAAAGTTCGGCTGCTGGAATATACTCATCCCACTGTCGACCCACGACCATTTTCCAAGAACACCTTTAGCGCCGATCCATGCGTTTTCGATGCCTTTGCAATATTAAAGTACGAGTGATATATACTTTTAAATATTAAAATAAATAAATCTTTAATTCTACATCAGAATTACAAGCAGGAAGCTCTGCATGAAAATAATATTTAAAAAAAACAGAAAAAAATCCAATTACAAAATATGTATTCCTTTTTATTATATTTTGCATTTACAATGCTATACTAAAAGATATGCTTAAAAACTCTCTTGCGCGACCTCTCCAAACCGGGCGACTGCCCTAACCATAACCTAACATGACTCACGAATTTTTCAAGCATTTGTTACTCTTTCGCTCGTCTGTTAATACTCGTCTTATACCATCTAATATAAAAGAATATAATAGACGTGACAGACAGCACTTTGCTGGACATTAAGTTCGCTGCTGATTTTAGTGAATAGCAAAGCAGCAGTGATGTGTCCATTTTGATCACCATTTAGCAATGTTTACGTAATAATCGCATCTCAATAGAATCTCAACTATTTGCATTTTACCGTTTTACTATCTACCTAACGTCCAATATTATAATTGCAATGTCCTCCTCAGACATCACACGGTGACAGATAAATAATAATATTAGACTTTAGATAAATAGTACATGCCGATAGTAATGCTACTTACTAGGTCGCGTCTTCAACATCGTCATTCCAAGTTTCTTCAGACACCTCATAGTCCCTATGTTAGCAAGACTGTAAAAAGATAATATTATAAAGTAGATTTTAACTTATATGTACTCGTACTTTGCAAGACATTTTTTTAGTAATATATTTTGACCTTGGAACGTGTTTCTACATCGATAGAAGAGGATTTAGTAATTTAAAAAATGCATACTTAAGTATTTATTACACATACCATATACGGTACTACTTAACTTAGCCCATTTTCTTTTATAATGAATATTGTATATTTATTTGTTAATGGGTATGTATGAATCGGCAATCGCCATGTTAATCACTTATTGAAACTATCTTACTTATTTCTAATATTTTAATGGAATGTGACTTTATATTCTAATTAATTTACATTTAAATAAGACTTCTCTGTGTGAAATAAAACAGGGAGAAAAAAGCAGCCCTTGCCGAATTTCTTGCCGGTTCTTCTCAGTATAAGGTCTCCCGCCGTAGTTTTGCAAACCGATAGCGTAGTTTTCGACTTTCACAAGTGCTTTTGATTTTGCTTTTTTTTATTTTATATTTTAATAAAATTTTAACAAAAATAGCACTATCCTCCATAATTACATTAAAATATTAGTATTGTATCAAGTTTTATTATAAGGCAATCAAAGTTCTAACCTGAATTACTCAGATCTGCGAAATCCATAATATTTATTTTTGCACCAGTATGGGATGTAAGTACAAGATTTTGTTTTTTTTTTGGCATTTGGCAACCTTTCAGCGTATGGAGTCCCTGCTGTTGGACATCTGACTTCCCTAGTAAACGGTCGATCAGAGTGGTCATCGACGGTTGTTTCTCTGACCTAAAAACGATCGATACTGAAGTTCCTCAGGGGTCTGCCCTCTCTGCGACTCTTTTTCTGCTGCACATTAATGAACTCCAAGCATTGTTGGGTATACAGATGACAGCACGGTCATAGAGAGGTATTTATCCGACGCAAAAGCCAGTGGACAAGACGTGCATCTGCTAAGAGAGACCATGGTCATGCGTATAAATGCTACCTTAATTCTTGTCTCCCAATAGGGTGACAACAATTTGGTCAGCTTCAATACCAACAAAACGCAGGCGTGTCTTTTCAGTGCAAAAAGGACTCACTTCGATCTGACTCCTACTTTCCAGGGTGCATCTATTGCTGTGACGGACAGCCATGAGCTCCTTGGCATGAAGTTAACTGCCAACCTTAACTTTGGCGAATACATCGAGTATAAAGCACAAACGGCGGCCAAAAAGCTGGGCATCTTAAACAGGGTAAAGCGGTACTTCACACCGGAATAGCTTTTGACTCTAAACAAATTGCAAGTCCGGTCGTGTATGGAGTACTGCAGTCACTTGTGGGATGGATCAGCTAAGTATCAGCTTGCCGCAATGGACTCGGTGGAACGAAGAGCCAAGAGACTCATTGGCGACATAAAACTAGTCGAATCCAAGCTGCACAGCCTGAGCCAATCGGCGAAATGTCGCCTGCCTGTCCGTCTTTTATAGAATGTACTACGGAGAGTGTGCTCAGGAGCTGCATGAGCTCATTCCGTCTTCACCGTTTTACCATCGGAAATCAAAATGTACGGCGGGATACCATCCTCATTTAGTTGATATCCCAAGATGTAGATTTACAAAGCGTTTTTCTTCGTCTTTTTTACTGCGCACCGCCAAGGAGTGGAACTCCCTACCGGCTTCTATATTCCCGAAAGCATATAACCCAGATCTATTTAAGGCAAGAGTGAATAGGTTCCTTCTGGGCAAGCTCGTCCCACCGTAGATCTCATTTATGTCCTTAGGCTAAATTGCGATCAAGAGTGAGCCCATTGTAAATAAATAAAAAAAAGATACTAACCGTTTTTGTTATTAAATTGAACAATATATTGTATTATTGAATTTTTAGTCAATGCCAAGAATAAGGTTAAAAACGGTATCGCATGAATTTTAACTTGCTTTTTAAATTTGCAATATGTACTATCAAATAACTGCTTTTTTAGATATACTACCTTTTTATCTTAAAATTTTTCAATCAATTCACCAATAAAAAAATATTTTAGTTTTGTTTTCTAAATGTTGAGGGTCAACATTTTTAGAACTGCCAAAATAAATCTAAGTCGCAACGAGTGCATATCTCTCTAGCCATGAATGATGATTATAGGATACGATATCTTATCAATGTTATGTCTCCAATGTTGGGGCATAGGACTTCCTATAGATGGATTCCAATCGAATAGGAAGACCAGGCTATAACCTACTACATGAACACATTGAGGATTGATGGATACTAACGACTGCAGATGCAGCACGACCAACGGCTTAATGTGCGTTCTGAAGCATGGAGGAGCTCGAGATATTAAATTTTTGTTTCCTAACCTATGAACGGTCCTTGTGAAGATTGCACATCGCAAACTGAATGCGCTTACCCACTGCGCCTCGAGCTCTTTGAGCTATAAAAATATATGTATATAATTATTTTTACCTCATCTTGTTGAGTACGCAATACGCAGCCGCCTGATGCCAGTCTATCCGGCCGTCGTAAATGTGATACAGACCGGTCCGGCATCGGACGACTTTTAATTCGATCACTTTCACTTCCAGCTGAGCATCTAGTTTATGGATAGTAATGATAATAATTAGACAATTTTATGGATCAAATTGGAAATTGGAAAAACCATGAAATCTACTTTTGAACAATACGGTAGATATTAATTTTTATATTACCAAATACTGCAGATTATAAGTTACATGACTTTTATAGTAATCAATAAAGAAGAATCAGAAGTTGATAAAGTAAAGTTGTAGTTCTATGTAGCTGAATGACCCAAACAACTGTAACTGTTTCCTAGTTGTTTTTCATGGAGTGAGATTGTGTGATCCGTAAACTAAGTAAATGTTTATTTCAGGTTTTGCATGCGATGTTCACCTGTAAATGATTGTACATTCAGCAAATTTAAATTAAGTTAGTTTACTAAATCAAATTAATGTAACAATCGTTGGTGTACTAAATAAATAAATAAATAAATAAATAAGTTATTTGACATTTTTACGACATGCCAGTAATTTCTGATGGTCGTGTATCGTGCAATACGCGCATTGTTCGTACGAAATATAAATATCTTGCGGCGCGACTTCAAATAAATGGTTTGTGTTGTGTCTCTAATTTAATAAAAGTTTTTTTTTTCTTTACGCATGAAAAATAATTATTTTTTACTTAAAGATTATAACACTCAGCCAGCTTGTGTTTAGTTTATTAAAAAGATAGATTACTACAAAATATTACGTATATTTTATTTTATCTTATAATAATAAGCATGTGTTATAGAAATCAAGATAACAGAGAGAGACTTCTCCTGTCTACGGTTATGCTTGGTCTAACCTTTTTCACAGACGAAGGGCCTCTCCAACTGGCACTGCAAATCTACAAACACTGGTCGGTCGTGGAACACACGCTCCAGTGCCACACAGTCCGCTCCACCATCGGGCACGGGCACGTGGGTACGGTTCAACCACTAAACAATTACATAAACATATATTTCGAGTAGAAAGGTGGCATAGTGGCACATAGTGGACAAGTGCCGCGGCCCGCGATCATTATTGTTAAGTAACTTTCGCAAGGGTCGGTCACGGAATGGGTGACCAAAAATTATTATCTCGGCCTTCTCCGTGCCTGGTTAGGCACGTTAAACTGTTGGTCCCGGATGTATTTGCAGTATTTAATACCCTTTGGCATTGGGACAGCGTGGAGGGTCATGGTTGATGATGATGATGATATTTATTTCATTACATAAATATTGACTCACAGGAAGCAGAATCCAATACATCAAGCACGCGTAGCTTGGCAAACTCGAGAACGTTTTGTCTACACTACGCCAAAATGACAGTTTTCTCGGAAGCGATAATAAATACATAAAAATTGAATTTATTTTGCTCACAATTACAGGAACATGGTAACACGTTATTGACTAAACACAACGTTGCTTTGTGAGGAACTGGAATGTGACTGTTTTCGCATTAAATAACTATGTAACTACTGTGGTAATTTTACTACAAGGAAATTTTGGAAAGAAAGAAAAAAATGGCAAAGAATAACAACAATTAAGTAGTAAAGTGTTTGAATATGTACAAGTATGTTATGTTACAACATCACAATCTTAACCGGAGAAAATTGACATTTGGTGTAGACAAAGCGTAGGCAGAGGGTAACAAAGCGTTTTTCGAGTTTGTCATGCTGCGATTGCAATGTAAAATAGAAAATACCTAATTTTCTTGTATAATATGTTTATTGTATGTATTTAAGGTATTTAAAATCCTATCCTAATAATAAAATACGAAAGTTTGTGAGGATGGATGTGTGTTTGTTATTCTTTCACGCAAATAACTAATTCAGACGAAATTTGGCATACGGATAATTCTAAGCCAGAATTAACATATAGACTTTTTTTATCCCACTAAACGGTTCTCCAGGAATAAATGTACTGTCAAATCTTTGTAAAACCACGTGATCGAAGCCGCGGACGAAAAGCGAGTATTTAAATAAATTTCAGAAGAATGACGTTCTAAAGAGTAAAGTAAGTTAGAATATTTTTCTTTGCAGACATATCCGTATGTTTACCATGGGGAAATGTTTTCTCGCATCACCATCAGTTTCAGTATTAGCTAGTATATCTGCTGCTGTTCTCCTCAGTTCCACGCCGTTCCGCCATCTGTAGCCGGCTGGATCATCTGCCGACGCTCTGCGTGCGGCTATCCACACAGATTCTATCACTGTGCAGTTAATTAATAAACTTTCTTAATGTTATGTTGTAAACTTTTATGGTCATTAACAAGACTTGCTCTTACAAAATATTTTTTTTACATAATTTCTTTTTTAATCTGTATTATATTATCATGATTTGTATCTGTATTATGGCGCCTCTGACACTGGCGCCCGGGTAACGTGCCTCCAGTTGCCCCCGCCCTAGATCCGGGTCTGATGACAATGATTGTTAATTACGGGATTGCTACTATGAGTCACCGCTTTTCAAGTAATATATGCAAAATATGTAGTTACTATAAAACGGGGAAACAACGTCTTAACATCACTTAACCTCCCTGATTGATCACTGAATGCACATTGAGCTCATCGAATAATCCCACAAACACTGCCATTCCATATTTTTTTCATTCCGCAAAATAGAAATATGTTTTACAAATAAATCTATTCACTAGTATTTGAGTTTCAATGTCAAGAAAGTTAAAATGTATCATGTGCTGTTGTATGCACCAGGATTACAAATTAAGGGCAGTAACATCCAGATCCAGATAAAGTTTGCCTTCCAGTCCAGCCCTCTGTGTATTTCGCAGACAAGCAACTTTTGAAAAGTTCACAAGAGTAATAATAAAAAAATATATATATATATATATATATCGAGTTCCTCTGTGCTTCGGTATCGGAAGAGCACCTGTAGCCGGTAATAATACCGAATTGTATTAGACCTGCGTGGTGGATTATGACCATTATATGCATTCGTTATAACAAGATGATAATAATGAGGTTCTATCAGTTTGATACTAAATTAACATACGGAATTGTGACTCGGAGAGAGCTTCAGCTAAGAATTCCGATTTATCCTTCGTGTCCAATACTGCCAGAGTGCCGTTATGATGACCCCTGCAAAGGAAAAATTAATTAATTTCTTAAAGGTTAACGCAAACCCGAATTGATTGAATTGCATCCGAATTGAACAGGCCGAAGAAGAAGAAAAGGAAGTTAAGATTTTTTTTTGAAAAAAATTATCCATAACCTCCGCACAATAGTAAGAGCCAAGAAAGCACGAAGTAGCACATTAGGTTTCTACAATAGACCCTCTGCAATCAATTTTAAATTTCATTATCCAGAAATTATGGATTAAAAGTTCTTTTCAAGTAGGAATCTTAACGTCATTGACAAAAAATGTAATACTTAAACAAAAAAAATATATATAAAGTACGAAACGGTGGCATAAAAATAAAATACCAACCGACATAATATCTTCGCATTGTCCCAATTCACTGGCAAATTGTGAACAATATACTCCTTATCGTTGAAGACGTAGGATTCCCATCGGTTTGTACATGTTTTCGGAACTGAAAATATATTAAAATTAAAAAAATCCGAATTGATATCAAATTTCCGTATAGATAAAAAAAAAGGTTTTCTTAATACTTAAATTACCATTTCCTGTATTTTTACAAAACATTTGACACGTTTAGTTTCGGAGATAAGAGGAAGATGGCTTTATTTTTCGTCTGATTTCCCAAATATAACTACAAAACAGTTTATCTTAAAATAATAAAGAAAAGTATATTTCAAGATTTTTAATAAAAAGTTTAAAATTTTTAATATCATAATATCAGCCCTTTTTATAAATTTAATCTCCACTGCAGGGCTAAGCTATCCTTATAGGTGATTAGGATTACATATTAATACAAAATGTATATCACACATTTAATATATTACCTCGGAATACTTAAAAGAGACGTTTTAAAAAAAAATAAACCGGATACCAACCTCTATACTGTTCATGATAACTGGCGCCGCAGAAACGAACAAAAAGAAAATAAATAAACAATTTCCTGCCACTCATATTCCACGTCTTTTAACCCTAGACAATCTTAAAAGACTGACTATATAGGACAATAGTTTTTTCAAAATGTCACCCATCTTTGTGCATTGAAACTCTTGTTATGGTTTATGGAATAGAAATATTATTATAACAATAGTGCGACGTGTTTTCATTCCACTTTATCCTACGTGTTACGCGCAGAGAAGTACGTATACAGTTTGTAATATAAAGGATAAGTATATATATAGGTATATATATAGAACAGTGATTCTCAATCTATGGGAGGCCCACAGTTTTTTATCTTTATAAAGTAACAGTCGAGTTGAATTTAATTGTTAGATACGTACTTATAACACCAAACATAAACAAATAAGCAAACTCTTTATCTATGCCCCAAAAAAGATAGGTATATTATGCCTACTCTGTATGAGGTAAATTTTAGTGTTTTTTATGAATTTTCAAGGAGTCTAATAAAATCGAGTACATTTTGAAATAAGTTAGTTATATATTCTTACTACTAACGGCAAGCTACCCTCCTCCCACGCTACAGGCTGCCCCCCCCCCCACACTTATTCCGCCACTGCTGGAAACCATCCACCTTCTTCTCATTTCTATTTATCAATATTCTCATTATTAATATTCATGTGTTCTCTATTTGCAACCATACATCTCTGTGGCCCCCAGATGTGCATGCATACTGTAAAGATTTTCCATCGCATGAATCACATATGCTTGTTTATGTTCAGATTTTTACGGTTTCAACGATTCCATACATTCTTACTACAATAACGAGGAAATATTTGTTTGTTTGTTTGTTTGCATCGAGTGGTCGGAGCCCACTCGATGCCAGACTACCGGACTGATTTTAAAAATTCTTCACCTACGGGAAGCTACATCGTACGCGAATGACATAGGTAGTGTTGCCAGGTGTCCCGATTTACGCGGGACGTCCCGATTTTCAGGGGTCTGGGGACGCGTCCCGATTTGTACCTAATCGGGACGCTAAATGTCCCGATAAATCACGTATTTTTATAAAAAAAAAATTTTTCATACTGTCAAACCCATTTTTGAAAGCCCCTAACTATATTTATCTATGTCTGAAAGCATAAAAGCTACCAAACTAGTACTAATACTTGTTTTTTTGTCTGTCCCGATTTACAGCCCCAAATCCCGATTAATTACACGCGCTGTCCCGATTAATAATAAATAGGACCTGGCAACACTAGACATAGGCTGTAGTTTATGTGGATCTGTTTTATTTTGCTATTTAGCTCGTGTTAATTATGGCGTTATGTCAACCGTGTATGATGGAACTTCCCTTTTCTTTGAGTGAAAGAATATTCCCCCTTTACAAATATATTAAAAAAAAAATACGAAATTTTACTTCTTTATAATATTAACAGAGTACTTAGTGTGTAGTTTACGTTTATCGTCGATCGTTGACATCGTCCTTAAGGTTTTAATATGGAAACCGGTACAGCAACCATAGCGGTAACTACCACGAACTAAAAATCGCCATACAAATTTTTAACGCGCTCACTAATAAAGGCTTTAAGGCGAAATTGTACGAAATTACACTTTTCCAACCAATTTCATTCTAAGGGTATTATTTACCAAATAAAAATAGTTTATGAAAATTAAACATATCATCGATTGCTTGTTAAAAACAGAAATATAAATTTCGATTATTGGCTCGATTTTGAATTTTTATATTTTCTAAAGATCACAATTCTTTTTAAAACAGTATTTGTTTTTTTCTGTGATTCAAAATGTTTGAAATCAAGCGAGCGCGTCTTTTCTCTCGATGCGTATTTATATGGGAAAGTAAATGGAGGAAAAGAGGGCCTTATTATAACACTATTTACCTACATGACATTCAACCTTACACACCCGATAATCTGTCTCGTACTGACGCATACTTCCGTGAGATGTTTGACGGATATTCCGTCAGATTTGCGTCGACCCTAAAAATGAATAATAGAACTTCATCAACTAGCAATTTTTAATGAAATGTAAAGTGCTAGTGTTACCTATTTTTTCACAGATATTTTAAATTTACACGTCAACTCTTTAAAAATTTTCGTCCTTACTGTTTGTATGGCTTCAAGAAGCCAATGAAATACAACACTTTTATTTGTTTGAATGTACATTTACTTGTTTGAATTTTTTTGACAGACGAGTTTTGAAAGAAATTTTCTAGTTCTTTAGAACTCTTTCGAAATAATGTATACCGCCCAAGAGCGAGTCGGACTCAAAAGGAGCAAAAGAATCACCTTTGTTATAATGAGAGTGACTTAAATATTTATTTTATTCTGTATTTGTTGTTATACAACACAAATACATCACAGGTCATAGAAACTTGAAATTTGGAGGGAACATCCCCCTTAATACGTAGAGGTGTACTAAGAACGGATTAAAAACGGGGTCAAAAAGGGTGAAAATCTTTGTATGAAACCTCTTTGTTTAGGGACCTATGTCGATGAAAATTGGTATTTGGATAGTTTAAAAAGCTTAGGAAGGTAATAGGTTATATTTTATCCCGAAAACTAACACTAAAAGGGATAAAAATGGGAGTGAAATTTTTTATGGGAATCGAAATAGGTTACCATAGCAACCATTGTTTACAGTCTGATTTGGCATTGTAACAAATGTACCTCATATTATTTACATTATGTTTTGTTGTATAGCGATAACTTTTCAAACAGATAATCGCCTGTATATTCTATATTATTTTGATCAAAGAACTTTGCGCAGGCTTTAAATTAACAAAAACATTAAAATGTTGCTCTAAGTTTAGATTAAGGAAATTGAAATTATTTGTGTTTTTTGTTTCATCAGTAAATTATTTCATGAGGATAAGTATTGCTACGTCTTAACCTAAGATTTTCAAGTTGATAGATTTCACAGATACTATTTTACATTTGTTCATTCATATGATGTAAGCATCTTATATCGTAACAGTTACGTAAGTCTCAGTAAGAGGCGCTGATGTCGCATTGTTTTTGTGATACAATATTTATTTAAATTCTTAGGATATATAACAAATTAAAGAAAGTAGGGTGACAACAGAAAATAATTTCTTAATTAAGTTTAGTGAGATAAATGTATGAGTGCAGTGCGAAGGTGCAGCAGCAAAGGCTATTTGTATAGTTTTATGGATATGTCGCAGGTTATAATAAAGACAGGATTGTGACTTAGCTCCAGAGGATTTTAGATGAGAGATGGACAATCTTTAAAATACTCTGGAGTTGACTTGAGGGAAGACTCTTTCACATGGGTAATTTTACGTGGCGTGCTCTCGAGTCAGCTCTTCAAGATCTCTAATCATCTTAGCGCCTGCGGACGGACAATTCAAAAATATAGTCTATAAAGAAGTGTAATAAAAAGATTCCCATCCGTTTAAATTCATTTTACAACCATATATATAAAATAAAAGAAGAGATGTCTTATTGTGTAGGTACTAAGAGCTAATTTTTGGAAATTCTATCTTGAGGAGAGTTAAAAGGGGTGAAACGTGACACAAAAAGAGCACACTACCTCCGAAGAAATTCAAAGTGTCTCCGTCGGCTGGAAAACTCATGGCTACTGTTTTCTGGGATTCAGAGGGAATCCTCTTTATTGATTATAAAGAAAGGGTGTCTCTATCACTGCAGAGTACTACGCTGCACTATTAGAACGTCTGTGAGATGCTGTGAGAGAAAAAAGACGGGGAAAATTGACTAAAGGTGTGCTCCTTTTGCACGACAATACACCCGTGCACAAGGCGCAAGTTGCGATGGCTGCTGTTCAAAGAGTGGGCTTCAAAATATTGGAACATTCTCCCTATAGCCCTGATTTAGCCCCAAGTGATTATTATTTGTTCCCAAAAATGAAAAAAGAGATTCGAGGGAAGAAATTTTCCAGCGATGAAGAAGTGAAGAGCGCAATTTCGATCTATTTTGACGACAAAGAGAAATATTTTTTTTTTGAAGTATTAGTAAATTAATTGATAGATCTAATAAATGTATTAGAGTTAAGAGGGAACATTGAGAAGAAAAAACAATTTTGTGTTTTATTTCTTACTTTTTAGCCTCCATTTCGCGAACTTTTTGACTCACCCTCATATGAAACTTTTTTGTTTTTGAAAACATAATGTTATATTTTATACCGAAATCCACTACTTATAGGGATACAAACGAGAGTGGAAATTTTTATGGAGAATTGAAATATTACCCTAGCAACCATTGTTTATTCGTTTAATTAGTCACTGTAATAAATGTATCTACTTAATATTATTTACAAATATTAGATTACATAGCGGTGAAAATTGGTGTTTATGTAATTTATAACAAAACAAAATATTTTAAAATTGATTTTCTTAAAAATGTTCAAATGGAAGTAATTTCGTTTACGAAAAAAAAATATTTTTATATATATTGAATTGTACTGGATGGCGTTGAGTATTCTAGATTGCACTGTTTTGCTCCAGATGGAGTTTTAAAATAAAATGTAGATAGAAATTTAAGCTTTGCTATACTAGATGGCGTTTATTCTAAAGTAATCTGCGCTAACGTTTCTTTCAAAAAATTTTGCACGTTTTCTATTAAATTTTGTGCAAACTTCAGAACCGTTTTTTCCATCTCTATTTTAAATTG